CCGGGGGTTTCGAGTTACCAAGAGGGGTGCCATTCGCGGAGGCGGACGCAGGGCGGAAGCTGGACGGCCCATTGTTTTCAGGACGAGAAGCCAGACGGAAGTTGCCGTATGCTGGGGCAGACGAGGGCGGCTGAGCGGGCGGGGCCATGCTCTGCGCGGGACGGGCAGGTGGAGCTGCTTGCTGGGGACAGTCTCGGTTCCAGTGCGGACCCTGGCAGAAACGACACGGAGTCTTCGGGGGCGACTGAGTAGAAGAGGGAGTCTGGTCGTCGCGTTGCTGGTGTCGGTTACGTGGAGGAGCGTTATCCTGGCGGCGGCGGGATAGCTCTGGTCGCATCGAGGGCTCGCCGTCGATGAGGGCTCGGCGGAAGTCATCGAGGTTGGGATACAGCCGGGCGTCGATGCGCGCCAGCTTTTGCATGGACTCGGGGAGACCGTTGATGATGTCGTCGATACGGTCGACGTCCGGGGTGCCAGCGGGGTAGAGATGTCGCTGGAGCGACCGCTTGTCGTCAAAGTAGGTAGCCAAAGACTCCGTGGTTTTAAGACGGCGGAAGATGCATTTGGTGCGCAAACGAGAAGCGTGGTTGGCACCGAGGTAGACAGAACGGATGGCGTCGGACCACTGCGACCATGTGCGCAAAGATCGGCGGCGCTCGGGCTCGAGGTCGGTGAACCATCGCTGCGCGGAACCTTGGAGAAGGGCGGGCAGGAGGAGGAGCAAATCTGTGTCGGCGGCGCCGGAGAACTCGAAGATGGCAGTAACAGAGGTGATCCAGGTGTCGACGTCTTCGTCGTCGTTGCCGCGGAACTTTGGGAACATCTCATGCTTGAGCTTGGGTGCATGAGTGTGACGCGGAGGAGGGGACACTGGGGTGGCCTCGCGTGATTGGCTGACACGAAGAGAGCGTATCTCGTCGCGCATGTCGGCCATCGAAGACATCAAGAAACGGTTTTGGTCCATGAGGAACTCGACCGTGGGCGCGGCCTGTTGTGCTCCGAGGACGAGGTCCTGGGGAGCGGGCGGCGGCGTCGCGGGAACAGGGTTAAGAGGGGTCGACTGACTCGTGCCGTTGCCGGCGTCGGACTGGAGGCTGTTAGGATTAGCTCCACCGGCAACGGGGGCGAGAGGGTCGGAAGGAAGAAGGGGAGTTAGCGGAGATGAGCTATGGTCGGCGGGGGCGGAACCTTGCGGGGGCGCATCGCCTTGACTGCGAAGGTTCCGGCGGGTGGGTTGGACGGCCTGGTCAGACATGACGGAGACACCGATGAGTAGAGGTGCGGTAGGAAGACTCAAGGAGTCTGGTTAGTGGGGAGACTCGGGGAGTCTGGTGAGGGAGACGTGGGACGTCTGGTAAGTAGGGAGACTCGGGGAGTCTGGTGAGGGAGGTTGTCTGAAACCTGGAAGAGGCCTATAGCCTAGTTTCTGCAGAAACTCTTCTCGAGCTTCACGATTTGAAGACGAGGGGAAGGGACCGGTGTGAGACTGCGAAACCGAAGCTCTGGCAAGCGGTGCAGTGGAGGAAGCGGCGTCGTAGAGTAGAAAAGTAAATCTAGAACGCGAGAGAAAAGAGTATTGAACGGCCGAGAGAGAAAATTTTTGTGTTTTTGTGGGGTATTTTATAGAGAAAAGAAAAGACGAGTCGTATTTTTGGTGTCGAGAGGGTAGCTAATCCTCGGACGGGGTTTTGAAGTTTTACAAAGTAACAGACGGAAAAGTGGTGGTGTGGTAGAGTTGAGGAGGCGAGGACGCTGAAAAGACTTTCCCAGTTAGGCCCCCAAGTTGTGGCGGTGTCGATAGACAGAGCACAAACTATGGCTTAATAGTCAGGGTGGAGTCCGGAGCGTCTCGTATCTCTTTTGGGTGATGGGCTTGGGCGAGGTGTAGCGAGCTGTGTGAAGCGTAGCCAAGGAAGTAGGAAGAGAAGGTATGGATAGCCAGGAGGTTCCTCTATAAGACGTATATGGAAAAGGAAGCTCCTGGGTCTCCGGCATGCATCGGTTTCTATGGACGGAAAGGAAAGAGGTATCGCCGTGACGCCGAGAGTGTGGCGCGGTAGATACCATGTGGCGGTCACGCTACAGTGGTTGCCAGTAAACAGTGGCCCAGATGCTGGAGGAGCGATATGTAGCTGGACGTGTCTATGTATGAAAATGGGCAAAATAGAGATGAGGATGATGAGGATGTTGAACGAGGAAGATGCATGACGAGGACGTGCCAAGGACGTGCGTGGATGATGGGACGGCCTCCACCGCGCGAAGTCGATTAGAAGGTGGCGTGACAGAGTTGTAATGGGCATTGGGATTGAGAAGCGACTATTAGAAAACGCGACTTGGTCGCCCGACGGGCCGACTGGACTCGGGTCTCATGGGAGGGGAAGAGACCGCTTCAGCTTCCCTGTCGCTGAAATTTAGAGGTCTCTGCAGCAACGTTGCTGCAGGGCATCTACAGCAAGCACTGCGGCTTCTCTGCCATCAAATCTCAGCGATCGCTGCCAACTTGTGTGCAAAGGGACGCTAAAGGCTCCGATGCCTCCACCCTACCTTCGGAATTCACCGATCACTTCCCGCGTTTCAGACACAGGGACGACAAATCGATCAATTTAGCATCCATGCCCGCGGAATCTATTTACCCTCTGGCCACAGTGACTTTTGCCATCGCATTGATGACTGATATGTCAGTAGGATGAAGGATCTATTGGATGAATGTTATGAATACCAGAATTGTTTACATTGAGACAGTAGAAACGCCCCCCCAGTCTAGAAAACAAGGACTAGAAGAACCCTCTCTTCCTCTTCGTCACCACAATCGCGTCTGTCTATCACTTTAATACCTTTCAAACAGACATCGACGGCCATAGCCTCCCCAAAGAACCGCGTCCCGTCCGATCCGCGAAGTGAATCAGGAGAGCGATCGGTCAGTACCAGGGTGGGGGACCACCTGGGAATCCCGGTTGCCGTCGTTTTCTTTTTGCTGCTTGAGAGTTACGTCGAGTCTCATGGGCATGATGTCTACTATATATGCCCAGGACGATGTGGGTATAGACAAGGGCACTTTCTGACTGTCTTTCAAATGATCTAAATACTTTGCGAGCGTGTCACAGAGTAAAATGTGTGGTGTTCAACGTTACCGGCCCGGGTCGTCAAGGCTTGCCGAGATCGATGCTCTGATTTCCGGGCTCAATGCTTCTGGGACTACGTCTAGGGCTTGCCAAGCCACCCATAGATCGTATATATCACTCATCTCTGAGCTACGCTTTCTGTCAGCGCATCAGCTGTATGTATGTAACAGCGAGTTGCGTAGATCGCGTATCAACGTTCGTTGTCAACAAAAAAAAGGTACACAAAATCGGTCTCCGAATCAGATCCGAGCTCAGGGCCGTTGTTGTCCTTTATTACGCGTAACCATGTCTTTGCAAGTCGTTGTCACACTTTACTCCACGTATCTTGGATCTCTTGGATGGGCATATGGGGGGCTCGAGGAGGTCTGGAAGGTCCTACAGGGACGAGAGGCCCCGATACGTCGTAGCTGCCGGCTTTGAGTGGTTTGGGTGTCCCGTGTCCTAGAGGAGTCCCTGATGTCTGTAGTCCGCTTGTCGACCGCCGGGCACTTTGCCCACTCAGCTTGCAACATATTCCCAGTTTGGGAAGAAATATGGGTACGGGTGTCGACGTCGTGTTGGACACTCCTTGCTGACAATCTTGCCCCTGCTTCTTCGCGTATCCAGGTGCTATGGATCTTTGCACCGAGCTGATCAACTTCGCCTCATCCTGCTCATATATAGGGCCCACAATCTGGCCATTCCCACCATCTTCATCACCCACATTCATTCCCGATATCCTTCTCTATTCAAGCACCGGTTGCTTGCCTTTTCTCTGTCTATCTTTTACGGCTTCCCATCCCATCGACTGGTTCGGCTTTAACAACATCTTTGTCTTTCGATAAGATCACTTCGACAAACTCATTTTGACGATGTACACCTCCTCGCTCCTCGCTCTCTTGCCTTTGTTGGCGCTCGCTCCCAGGCTGGACGCGTCCCCTATCCGAGTGGTGAAACGAGAGGTGCCTCAAGGTATGTCTCGTTACTAACGAGTATTTGGTCCGTGTTCGTGCTTATGGAAACGAACAGAGCACTCTCACGAACAGTTCTTGACGACCGTTCGGGCATCGCTCAACATCGATAACCCTCAGAATATCAAAGACCCGTGAGTCGCCTCCCTCCCTTTCCACTCTCATATACTGACAAGATCTTGACAGTGTTTTTGCGCTACTCGGAAACGCTGCCGCCGCCGCCGGCCAAGGCGACGTCACCAACACCGACTGTCTCCAACAAGCCGTCGCCGACCAAGCCTTTACCAACGCCAAGGCCGCTGGGGATGTGGCTGGCCAGACGGCAGCGTTGATTTATCGAGCTTTGGAGAGGAATACGGCATCGGTCGGGTTGGCTAGTGTTGCTTGGTATGTTTCATCACCATGTTTTTTGATATCATACGCTGATACGATGACAGTAACGAGACTGCTACCAACCCCGAAATCGCCGCCATCTCCCAGCATCAAGACCCTGCTTCGGACGGCGCCGCGGCAACCAACAAAGCTATCACTCTCGAGCTCGCCAAGCAGATCGCCTCCGTCGGCGGAGACCCCCTCGATGCGCTCAAGAGCGGTACCTTCGCCGCTGGAGACACTACCGACAATACAGGGGCGGGGAATACATGCGACGACGCAGATGACGCGGATGGGTGTATCTTTACGCAGAACTTGTTGCAAGAGGTGACTTTTGACTTTGTTGGTTCAGTGACTGCGTGCTGATGGACGCGTAGGATGCTACGGAAGCAGAGATTTGCTCGGCTGTTGATGGAGTGAGCGCTGCTACTGCCACCGTTTCTGGTTCCTCCGGCTCTTCAGCTGCTGCCACTGAGATCTCCGCCACCGCCGCTTCCAGTTCGAGCGCGGCTGCTTCGACCGTACGTCCCCCTATCACATAAAGACTGAGAACAGAAGCTTACAATCTCTAGGCTACGTCGAGTACCAACGCTGCGGCTGCGGATATTGACATCGGAGACTGTACCGACTTTTCAATGACCTTTGCCGGTGGTCTCGACAACCGAGCGGCTGATGAGTTTACTTTCGAACCTGTACGTTCCCCTCCTGTTCTTTCTTACATTTGTCTGATACCTTTTGTAGACGGATCAGACACATTTCAACCACGGCTCAGCGCTCAACCCTTCCATCATCACCACCGCCATGTGCGACACCTTCGTTAACGCCTGTGCCAAGAGCGCCTCGACGAGGGATGCTTGTAAGACTGTAGCGGCGGACCTTGACTCGCAGGTTACTGCTGGGACGCTGGCGAAGGATCAGACTTTTGCGGATGCTTGGTTGTCCGGAGTGAGTTTGATATTGAATCGCATGGGACTGAGTTGGAGCTGATGGGATGGTTCAGCTTGAGAGTACTTTCGGCGTCACTTCGACTGGTCAAGGGTCTGCTGGATCTTCGGCCAACGCAACCACTGGTGCTGTCTCCAGTACCGTGAGTCTCCTCTCTCATCACTATCTCTGTGGCTCTAGCTGATGTGTCTATAGGGTACGAACGCTGCTGCTGCGACAGACACGCTTGATGTTGGCGCCTGCACCGACTTTTCCATGACGTTTGCTGGTGGTCTCGACAACCGCGCCGCCGACGAATTCACTTTCGAACCTGTGCGTCCTCCCTTTCTTCTCTCCTCTTTCCATGCCCTACCAAAAGCTAACCCCCTCTCAGACCGACCAAACAAACTTTGCCCACGGCTCCGCTCTCAACCCCTCCATCATCACCGCCTTCATGTGCGACACTTTTGTCAACGCGTGCGCGCAGTCGGCGGCTACGAGGGATGCGTGCAAGACGGTAGCTGCGGATTTGGATAGTCAGCTTGCGTCGGGGGCCTTGGCGAAGGATCAGGGGTTTGCGGATGCTTGGTTGACTGGGGTGAGTTCTCTTCTTTATTGGCGTTGGGGAAAGGGAAGAAGGGTTTGAGCTGATGGGATGGGAATAGCTTGAATCTGCGCTGGGTGTCACATCGACTGGTACTGGATCGGGCTCTGGAGCTAGTTCGGCGGCTGCAGCGACAAGTGCAGCGGATGATAGCGCCTCTGTCTCTTCTTCCACCTCAACCACCTCCTTGACGGCGGCTTCTACCACCAGCGCTGCTGATGCCGCTGGTGTCTCTTCTACTTCCTCAGCTTCTACAGCCTCTTCCGTACGTCCCTCTTTCTTCGATGTGTAAATGGAGGCTGACGATGAGGTAGACGACGGCTGCTTCGGGCGATAACCTCCAAACCTTCACCGGCGCTCTCAACGGCGTCACCGCCACGCCTGTCACGAACGTCGGCGGGGACAGGCCGTTCCAGGTCAAGACGGATACGTTTGTCAATTCTGCTGCTGCACTCCAGAGGAGTTGCGATCAACAGTTCAACGGGTGGTGAGTCTCCACACCTATTCTTTCAAATTGGATGATAGATGTTGACAATGGGGTGTTAGTGCGAATGCTGCCAATTCTGGGAGCGGAGATTCGACCGTTAGTGATTGTTCGGCGCAGAAAGATCAGTGTGATGCTGCTGCTACCGCTTAAGGGATGTGTATTGAAGGTGGCGAACTATGTGAGGCACTTGCAAGTATAGGTGGTAGTTTATAGAATGCCTATCGTTTGATTGAGATGTTTGTGAATATGGGATGTAGCTCTTCTATTATATGTCTTTCGGTTCTCTGCTCGTGAGGGTGAGCCTCCCTGGACATCCTGATCGACCCTTCGTACCTTATTGCGAACCTCCGACATGCCCATTTTCCGATCAAAGAGCAGCGCTGTCACTTACCAAGATGCATACGCACATGGCATAGATTATACAAGATTTCCAGACCCCTCTTCTGTTCCATCTAGACGGTGAGCTGGTACTCATACTCGTCGCTGCCGCTTTGAGCGATCCAGAGGATCATAGCGCTGCGATTGTCATCAGCATCCATCCTGCGATACGGATCAATGGACGAAAGACGTACGAAATCATGATACCAGTGTTACAAGCCACATTCGCACCGCCGTACCACAAGTAGCCGGAAAAGTCGGGGATGATATACTTGAGGATGAGAACACACTACATCACTGTTAGTTGTCTCTCCAATTTCAATCGGGGAAGGAGAAAGGCGACGTACCAAGCTGCCGGCGAGACCTCCAGCCATCATCGCAACGCCAATAAACAGGACCACCCTCGCTCGCCAAGCGGCTGAACCTTCGGAAGCCCAGGGGTCGGAAGAGAATGCAGAAGTGAGATGGGACTTGTCGAGGATCGATGTGATGATGAAGCCGACTGTCAATATATCGGTCAATGGTTGAACAAAGGGAAGGTGTGAGACGTACAGGTGGAGATGATGGCGGGGATCCAGTCTACAAATGCCATATGGACGGGGACGACATCATAAGGTGCATCGGGGGGAGGTTTGGCGTGGGATGAGAGAGTGGCGGCGTCGAAGAGGAGAAAGTAGGCGAGGGCGAACTGCGGAGCAGGTATGGGTCGTCAGCTGATGATCTGCCTTGGTGGAGACGCATGGAGCGTGGTGGAGACGGTGTACGTACTACACCTCCAGAGACGTATGTACCAATTGAGCGAGTCCTGGGACCGATCTCGAATGTGGGGAGGTTGAAGCGAAAGACACGCCGAGGGTCGTACGCGGACTACAGACGTCGCGGTCAGTTCACATCGCCTTGGCGTGGTGTGTGGGAGAGGAAGAAGGGCGCAGGATAGCGGAGGGGGCCTGTACGTACATGGGGGAGAGACATGGCGGGAGGGAAGCTGGGAGTATAGCAGAATTGAAAGAAGAAAGGATGAAAGAGGAGGATGGCGGCGATGATGTCGGCTCGCTGTTCCGTACTGCTTACGTAATCAGAACTTGTACTGTTTTGACGGATCCGCAATAATCAACGACGACGCGCTTTTCTATGCTTCACAGTCACAGCCATGGGTATCTCGGGGCTGCTTCCTCTCCTCAAGGAGGTCCAGGTCAATGGGCATATATCCAACTTCAAGGGAAAGAAGTGAGTCAGCCTGTCGATCCCGCGACGCGTACGCTGACAGACGCGTCGGACAGGATGGCTGTAGATGTGGGTGGTTTGGTAAACGAAACTCAGTTCTACGTACTAACTCGGGATCTCAGGGATATGTATGGCTTCATAGAGGAGCATTCGGCTGCGCCGAAGCTTTGGTGAAGGGAAAACGGACGACAAAGTAGGTGCTCAGTGCTCAGAACGCGACGCGTAGCATCGACTAATGTTCTGCAGATTCGTCGACTATGCCTTACATCGCGTTCGGATCCTGCGGCATCATGGTGTGGAACCATTTATCGTCTTAGACGGAGGACCGTTACCTGCAAAAAGAGGGACGGAGGTGTCTAGAGCGAGGTGGGTTGGTTTCGTCTCATATCCTTGGCTCGCGGTTGATATTTCGTATAGGTCGCGCGCGGACAATTTGGATAAGGCGAAAGCGCTCGAAGCTCAAGGTAGACACAAAGAGGCACGAGATGCGTATACAAAATGTGTGGATATAACGCCCGAGATGGCATACCAACTCATCAAAGTACGTACCCTCCTTCTGCTTTGATCAAGACAAACTGACTCTGCGGCAGGCCTTGCGGGCTGAGAATGTGGACTACGTCGTGGCACCATACGAGGCAGACGCTCAATTGTGTTTTCTGGAAAGGGAAGGGTATGTCGATGGCATCATAACGGAAGATTCGGATTTATTAGTGTTTGGCTGTCGGCAAGTGAGTCTATGCTCACCTCTCTTATTTGGAGATTGTACTGACGCAGGTTCAGGTCGTTTTCAAGCTGGATAGCAATGGGGATTGTGTGTGGATACAGCGTGATCGGCTGGCGACATGTAGGGAGTTTCCGATGCACGGGTGGACGGACGTTCAATTTCGGCGTATGGCGGTATGTTCTAATTCTCTCCACAGCTTACTATACTGACGGGTGCGCAACAGATGCTTTCTGGATGTGACTATCTCGACTCTATACCGGGTATAGGCCTCAAAAAAGCTCATAGGTTGATGAGAAGGTTCGCGTCGGTCGAAAAAGTGAGCTTTGACAGTCGTCTCATCTATGCCAGGGCTGACTAATACGAAGATCATTCAACATCTTCGACTCGAAGGCTCCCTCGTCCCTCAAACCTACGCCGCCGACTTTGCCCTCGCCGAACTAGCTTTCCTCCACCAACGCGTATTCCACCCCGAACTCTGCAAACTCGTCCCTCTCAATCCTCTCCCAGAAGCGGGTTTGGGGGAAGAAGGTGAACGGTGGGTTGGGGAGGATATTGAGGAGGGTGTGGCCAGGGGGATGGCGAGGGGGGATGTTAATCCGGAGACGAGGGTAGAGATTGTTGATGAATGGCCGGATTTTAAGCCGGAGAAGAATGGGAATGGGAAAGTTGGGGGTGGGGGTAGGGGTGGGGGTGGGAAGAAGGGGACGTTGGATGGGTTCGTTCAACGTACGTCATTTGGTTTTTGGAATAAGCATGGGGCTGATAGATGCTGTAGGTGTCAAGAGACCGACGGTACTTCCTCGACCTATCGGCGCATTCGGTTCCGGCGCTTCTCGCCTATCCGACCAAATCCCCATATCATCGCTCGACTCCATCCCCACAACATCTTCCGAAGATCTCGATCAGCCCCCTGCTGGGAGGAAAAGCAAATTCTTTTCCAAGAAAGAGTCAACCCCCGAGCTGGGGGTTAAACTTTTGTGGGAAGATGATTCGGAGGATGAAGCACAGTTGCAGTCGTCTATGATGATTGATACGCAGAGAGCGGGGACGAGGTCGCCTTCGCCGGCTGTTTCGAGTTTGAAAGCGGGAAGCTCGCCCGCCCGGCTCGTCGAAGAGGATGATGAACGGGAGGATGAGGATGATGGGGAGGATGGGAGGTTGAGCGAGACCAAGAGCCCGTCGGTTATGGCTATCAGCAGCCCACCTTGCTCCAGTCCGCTTATACCAAAGATCGACAAACTGGCTGCGAGATCGTTCCCGAGAAACAAAGCGGCGGGGGGGGTGGTGAAGAGGGAGAAGGAGGAGAGTGGGCTTTTCACGCCGAAAGCTGGATTGGGGAGTAGAGGAGATTCGTTTGGAAGCGAGTATGATGCGATGGAGGAGAGGAAGAGGGGGAGGGGTACGTTAAGGGTGTCGAGGGTGCTGGAACCGACTGCGTCGAGGGATACGATCGTACCGGCTTCTTCATCCCCTCCACTCCCCCAGTCGGAACCCTCGCCTGCCCCTCCAATAACTTCAAAACCACTCAGCAGACAGCCCCCTCGCCGGAGGTCCGACCTGCCTTCGAGCGATTCTATAGACTCCGAAGAGCTTGCGACGCCCTCTCATTCTCATGAGCCTACGTCGAGCCAGAAGAAGAGGAAGCGGTCAAAGGTGGTGGAAGTGGAAGAAGAAGAGATGGATAAAGTGGAGGTGGAGAGGAAGGAGAAGGCGAAGGTGTTGGCGGGGGGGTGGAGGATGAAGTATGCGTTTGGGGGACAATCTGTGAGTATCCGACTTTTTGATTGTGTTGGAGTTGGGGGCATGGGCTGATGTTGGTTTAGTCGGCGTCGCCGCCGGAAGGTGAGGCTACTCCGAAGCCGAGAGGGAGGGGGAGCATTGGCATCGCCAGGCCTGCTTCGACACCACTTCCGGCAATAGCCGCGACCAAGTCTGGGATCATGACGAATGGGTTCGGGCAAGGGTCTGTAATGAGAACCAAGATGGTTGATGGCGTCAAGATGACCAAGACGAACGTAAGTACATCGTATATGTTGCTTCGACAACGACAGCTGACACTGCCCAAGTCGTCCTCTTCGTCTACCTCCACCACTTTTACTGAGAACCAAACTTCCGAAACCACCCTCGTCCCCACCTCCCTCCCCGCCAAGAAACCAATCGTCGTCCCCTCTTTCGGCACCGCTTCCACCTCCCGCGCCAAAGCTCTCAAAGACGACGCCGTCTTCAAGCCATGGCCGGACAATGTCGATACCCCTACGAGAGGTGGCGGGAGTGGAGGAAAGAGGGATGTGAAGATTGGACTGGGGAGTGTGGTCAGAAAGACCGAGGAGCAGGGGCAAGGGGAGGAGCAGAATGGGGGGGGAGAGGGGCGGAGAGATGAAGATGAGGATATAGGGTCGTTTACGCCTTCGCCCGAGAGGGGTCCGGGGACTGGGGAGAAGGGAGTGAAAGTGGCTGGCAGTACGATTTCGAGGTTGGAAAAGTACAAGTTTGGGATGGGGACGAGGAAGTAGCCGACAGAGGGGAGATGTATCAATGTACGAGTACGTATCAAGTTGTACCCTATATATATGTGTGTACTTCAAGTGAAATGTAAAACGGAATATAATCTTTGAAAGGTGGTCCAGGGTAAGGCATCGTTAGTGGAATGAGATGTGCTTCCATGGAAGAGTGACCAGTCAACATGTAGGGATGATGGTATACGGTCTTCCGAAAAACGTATATTATAATCGTCTTGTACTGTACGTACTCGAGTACTGCTTATATGTCTTTCTGTAGCAAAGTTTCATAAGGGCTCTATCTATCCCGGTCCAGGCTATTTTCTTCTCGACACCAAAGACGACAGTGTGAGATCAAGCTCCAGAGCGCGTGTTATCAGCCTCAGGCGTTGCTTCCCGGGATCGCTCGTTATTCGATACTACTGAGCTACTGATAATGGTGAAGCCTTCCCTGCGGAGTGCTGAAGAGACGGCATGATGGGCTAGCTGGTCTCTTCGCTCCAAGGGTATAGATGTCATGGTTGTCATAACGGAAGCGGCGGTACGAGTAGCGAGCTGTTCCACTTCGGCCTGGGAGAGTGGCTCACGGCTACCTGCCTCGCTACCCTGTTGCTGATTGTTGGTACTCTGGTCCTCGTTAGGCATACTGTAGTGAAGATTGATGGGAATAGCGCTGTGCCCGGCAGCGGTATGAGCTTTATATATCGACCGGTCTGATGTCGTGCTATGCGAAGTGGCGCTTGAAGCGTAAAAGGTACGGGGGGATATGTGAATAATCCGGCGGTATACAGATACAAACCAAGGAAGAGCCTTCGATGATATACATTTGCAAATTGGCGGGCTTGAACTTGTTCTCACGCGAAGGATGACTTTTCGATGCGGAGTTGTTGCAGGAATGATGAGAATCAATGACTCATCTACTTGTTGATTTGGCGAAATATGGCTGATGTTGGCGGCCGATCTGGTATATGGAGAGACTGTGTTTTACCCTCGTCAACGTACATACTCGGGTACTTTACCTCACGGCCGCGAGGTATAGATGATGTTCCCATCGGGTCGCCTCGCATGCTGGGTTGAGTGTACTTCGGTTGTCGTACCTTACTTGTGATGATTACTCAGGCATTGTACTATCTGTAGAGTACTCGTACTCGATGCTACGGGGCCACCAGCTGTGCAGGCTGAAAATGTGTCCTGTTGACCCAGGACGAAACTGAAGTCGACTTGGACGAAGAATCATGCATCTACCTTCTCCCTCTACGATGCTCCCCACGTCTCGTTTCAAACATGCTCAACTGATGTTCAGATTCTCTACCCCTAGCCCTCCTTCCACCGCTTCATCCTCGGCTCCATCCTCCTGCACCTCCACCGACCACACCGTTGGAGCGAAAGCACTCCCATTGATAGACATCTCCACACAGTTCACCGACATTCCCGCCCGTCGAAGGTTACGCGCAATCATGTCATTGACCAGCGCGCTCTTGCGCTCAGTGTCCAGTTCGGGAAATTGGGTGATGACCGTTTCGACGACGCTGCCGGCCATTTCGTTGATGGCGCCTGTGAGGTCGTTGGAAGAGTATCCGGAGGTGTGCTCTTCGTAAAAGCTGTTTGAGAATGGTTTAGTGTTGGTCTCGTAGGAGGGGGTGGTGCTGGCTTGGTCGTTTTCGTCGTCGGACATGATGGGAGCTGAGAGTTGATGGAGTGTTGTTGGGCGGTAATTTGTGGGGGCGGAATATTTATATAGGACTGAACTTCGGACTATGAGCAAAGGTTGTCGAGTACTAAGGATCTTTTCAAGACATGGAGAGAGTTCTACATGGGAGAGGTGTCTGCGATGAAAGGTACTCGAAGCGTCTACCTTTCTTTTATCGTGGAACGCCAGAGTGTTGTACATCAGAGCTAGCATATGTCTCGAGCGGTGGCATTCAAGGGCCATGTGAGACATGTGAGACGTGACGGGCTGCAATGCAAGGCTATATTGGTTGACCACGGGACGCATTTGACTATCACGCTGCATTTCGGAAATGCCCTATCAGATGAGCCTGAAAGGGTGATACTGGTCGCGTTGGTGACATGATATGTGGTGTGTTTCTTCATCGGTCTTTACAATACCGCGGTACTGACACCAGAAGCGTCGAATGCATTGCTATGAGGATCAAGGAAATGGAGGAAGATATGATCCCACGACGGGTACTGGTGCGCTTCGACATCCGCTTCATTCTTCTTCTTCTTCCACCAGGCTAAAGCTTCCCCTGCGGCGAGGGCTTCGACCTCGTCTTTCATCCTCATCCTCCCCCGATCCATCATCATCAGAATCGGCCCAATGCAGATCCACCTCGAGCCCTTCGATCCCCGCGCGCGACAGGCTACTCTCGACCTTACTAAGAATGAGCTCCCTGCGCTCTTTTCGCGACATGTCGGAATGTTGATGGAGGACAGTATTCAAGTGGGCTGTCATGGCGCCGAGCTGGTCGGGGAGGGGAATGTCGCTCTCGGGGGAGAGGTGGTATTCGAGTTTGGAGAGGTCTTCTTGTGCGTAAACCTCAGAGCCGGAGTCGGAGTTGGTGGAGGGGGATCTGGAGCCGGAGTTGGTGGAGGTTTCGCTTGGTTGGGAGTCGTCGATGGGGGAGGAGTCGAGGTAGAGTGGGGAAGGTGGGTTGGAGAAAGCTTGCTCGTCTTCTGACATTTGTTCTGGTCTTTGCTTTCGGTTGGGGTATATGGCTGAAGGGATGCTATGGTCTGAAAAATGAGGTACATTTAAATATGAGCTTGCATGTATGAGCGCTTTCCGAAAGCGGTCCTGACACGAGTCGTGTCATAAAAGGAGAGAGCGTCGGAGCTGAAAGATAAATAGCAGCAGATCATTTTGACAATTAGCATGCCAGGATGGTAGCGGGGGCGGGGCTACGCTGCGTCGTGGTATCGGTAAATGTCTGCGGGAAGGGTGCTGACTGTGTGACCGACGCTATATGCGAAAGTCCGCACAAAGGGAGCGATCGGTCAACATAGCCTCAGTCCGCTGCAAATGAGCAGGAGGGTCAATGGACTGGGGAGGTTCTTTATGGGATCGCGATGTGTATGTCATTATCGAGCAGTCACCTTCTGCGTCTGTCTTAGTGACATGTAGATGCGATGCTGAGAGCTGTTCTAGAGATCGCGCTGACATTACCCGCTCTTGTCCCTCCGCCTGCTTCATGTTGCCGACCGAGTCAAGCCGCTGTATGTCCTCGTCCACCCGCAGAGAGTGCTTTGGAAGTGTATACATATGGTGCTGCGGCCTGATCCTTCCCCCAGCCCAATGAAGTCAATACGGCCGAGGCTTGGTCACGCTCGCAGTATGACTCCGCCCCCAGCCCCCAGCTCGGACTGACGCGTCGAAAAAAAATCAAGGTTCATGCGCGTTTGTCTTTTTTTTTTTTTCTGTGGAGTCGCGTGAATAGTGGGCATTCTATTACGGGTACTTGCTGCATACTATGCATACACGACGCCACTATCGCTGCCCTCTATACAGCCCTATGCACCCCCATCCCCACTCCCGGCCACCCACCCTGCATGCATGGCACACGCCGGGCAGGCCCCAGGCCCGCGCCGGGGCCCTCGGGTGTTTACTGCGTGCCTGGATACTGCAATCGTTGTCCCCTCCAATTCGCAGCTCCATTTCTCTTTCTTCTCTCATCTTGCTCTTATTTATTTATCCCCTACCAGCTTTATAGTGGACACCTGTCTCGCTCCAGTCGCTCTCTACAACACCCCCCAGCTCCACGCCGCACACCAATCTCCCCACTCCATCCCCGCCCCGTCCCTCCGCACCGCTTTCTTGACAACCATCGAAAAAATGTTCACCAAGACTTTTGCCGCCCTCTCCCTCGCTGCTTTGGCCGCCAAAGCCATCATCACCCCCACCTCCCCCGACGGTTCCACCTCCGTCAAGGTCGGCGAGGAGATTGAGGCGCTTTGGACTGTGGACTCTGTCGATGACTGGAGCAACGTCGAGATCCAGTTGATGACTGGTCCCAACCTTGCTGTGAGTCGCTTCTGCTTCTGCGCTCCGCATCGTCTTCCGAGTGTAGCTGATCATAGCTGTAGATGGTTGCCCTTGCCACCGTCGCCACTGGTATCGACGGTACCTCCGCTTCTTCTTACACCTTTACGGCGCCGGACGTCAGCCCTTACTCCAAGATCTACTTTTTGCAGTTGTGAGTACGCCCCTTGTATCTCGCAGTGCTCTGCTTACACTATTTATAGCACCAACGGCGGTGACATGAGCAACGTTACTTGGACCACCCGATTCACCGTGCGTCCCCTGTACCCTGCCGGGCCGTTTGTGCGCCCGTAGCGAAACTGCGCTGATTATCCGCAGATTGCTGGCAGTGATGGATCTACCACCGAACCTACCGACACCACCGACTCTGTCGAGTGGGGTACGTCCTTCTTACTTCCCGCTTGACTGGAGCTGACTTTGCACTATAGGTACTGGTTCCCTCCTCACCACTATCTCCAACTCCACCTCCTCTTCTACCGACTCGTCTTCTGCCTCTGCCTCGGCTTCGACATCTTCTGCCGCTTCCGTCGCTGCCAACGTCGCGTCGACCTCTTCTGAGGCTGCGTCCGGCTCTGCCGCTTCTTCCGGCTCTTCCGACAGCTCTTCCTCCGCCGCCGGATCCTCCTCCTCCTCCACCGCCTCTGCTTCTCCCGCCAACGCTTCCTCCTCTTCGTCTACTTCTGCCGCTGGCAAGCTTGAGGTCGGTGTGGTCGCTGCCCTCTTGGGCGGTGTTGCTGCTCTTGCCTCTTTCTTCTAAGCTCCGAGCTTGAAGATTTGTGAGCAGGGATAGAGCGCTGTGTATGGGAGCGAGGGAAGATCGCTGGAGAAATGTGAATGAATGGTGTAGAGGAAATAATATGGACATTGCGACGTGGTGTTTACGAGACTGGTCATGTGATGTTTGGTATGCTGTCTGACAAAATTCTTGGTCTATTCCCTTCTTATATACTCTGTTTATTGGACCGCACTAGTCGTCATCAATGATGCTGTGATAACGCTCGTTGTCGTCGTCTCCATCGTCTAGATTGTACAAACGGTATGGATCAGAAGAGTCTACCGAAGTAGCATCATCATCCGGCACCTCTTCTCGTCTCTCCCCCAAATCTGCATCAACCACTCCCGTCTCTGCACTAAACAAGACGGTATACCCCTGCTGTGTCATTTGTGCTATCGCCCACTCACGGGCCATACAGGCGCGCTCATCATAAGGGAGGTGGTCTAGGTGAATCATGGCAGAGTCGGCGGCTTGGGAAGCGACGGTACGGATGCGCTCGTTCTCGGTGTAAGGCTCGAGCCCAGTGTCGGACTGGTATTCGTCCTCGTCCTGGGGCTGGTAAGGGTTGGGGCGGCGAGTGTCTGCTGGTGGGAAGTAGCCGTCGCGTGAGCATTCGGAAGAAGAATAGGACAGAGAGTCGAGCAATTCACGGATCTCTTCTATGGTTACGGGCTCGTGGTGGGGCTCTTCGTTGTGTTGTATAGGTGTGTCGTATGGGGAGGTGTTGGATGTGTCGTTATATGCAGACATGGTGTGTTTGAGATGTGATGGAGAATGACAGGTGACATTGATAATTCGGACTCTTTACCATGTGATTATATACCCACGAAGCATGCACTCGGAAGGATCGTCACAGAAGACGAGAAGGGGGCGCGGAGGCGTGTGATTTGTGGGATGAAGCTATGAAAGGGAAGCGTTGTGGCCCGTGATCTTCATGGGAATTGTGTAAATCAGAAGCTGGTCTCGGTTTCAATACGTGAGAGGCACTGTGGGCTCAGCCATGCTAGGGAGGATGAGTCACGCCGGCGACGGGGTTGACAAGCCGAAGGGGGCGGAGAAGAAGGTCACGGCTGAATGTTTGTATCTATCGGGCAGAGCAAAGTCGTATCACCAATTGTCCACCCTGAGTGTTGATTCACCTTTGGTTAATATACAGACTGCTGCGTTAGCGCAATGGCTGATAGCGTATGTAGCGGCGTATCATATCACCTGATTTCTGCATTTCGTCTAACGTTAGTATGCTTGGGCATATATGTACTAATAGTCCTCCTCTTCACTACTACTGGCTTGCTCATCAAACTCTACCTCGTCGTAAGGATCAAATGGGCCAGAATCATCTATAGACGCAGCATCATCGTTGTCCAAGTGTTGCTGCGTATCTGCCGGAGGACTATCGCCGGCCGGTATCGTCACAGCACTTTCCAAGACCGTATAGCCCGCTTGAGTCATATGAGTCATAGCCCACTCACGTGCCATACGGACGCGCTCTTCGTAGAGAAGATGATTCATCTGCGTCATTATGGCGTTTGTTCCCTGGGCAGTGAGCTGCTGTATATCGTCTTCGAGGGGAAAGTAGCCGGTGAGGCCAGCATCGGAGCGGTATTCATCTTCGAGCTCGAATTCGTCTTGCGGGGGTCGGCCGTTTGCGATGACGAAATCGTCGTTCGAGGACGATGTGTGGGATGAGGTCTCGGAAAAGGTGTCTAGAAATGCTCGTGTGTCCTCCATGTGGAGCGTTCCTAGGGACGGAGGCTGTTCGTTTTGCGCTTGCGGTGAGCTGTGGTGCGACGAAAGCTCATCTTGAGGTGACTCGTTTTGAGGTGTGTTGTCTACTGGCGTTATGCGTTCAGGTTGAGGAAGATGTGGGGAATCCGTAGGGTGAAGCATACACTCTGTCGATGGAAATTCGAACCCCTCTCCACTCCCCGCCGTTTTGTCACTTTGCCGAATGACGAATGTTACATCGGGTGACAAAGGGGATCGTGGGCGTGGGATAACAGGGATGAAGGGACTATATCTTCTGCTTCTGATTCGTGGAGATTGCAGACTGGTCCAAATGTGTATCATGAGAATCATAGTTGTATCGGTCAGATCAGGGCAAGACAAGGGCGAGTCGCGGGTCAACAAGAGAACGGCCAAATCAGAGTGGTGGAAGAAGTATATGTGCGTGATGTGCTATATGCGTCCCCGCCTCTTTTGCCATACGATGAATAGCATCTGACATGCTTCTTGAACAGCCTTGAGCGTTTCGTACCAGCTGTGAGCGTTTCGTACCCATGACTTATGTCATCACTGTTGCAAGGTTGAAAGGTAATGATATCTGCATATCAATCAAGATTACAACGACTTTGATCGTAGCTGCGAGCTGCGAGATTGCTCATCGATGTCTGCATACAAGGTGGAGAAAAAAAAGAGGCAAAAAGAAATACACCGTAAGGGAATCGAACCCTTGCCGCAACTATGGCAAAGTTGCATGATACCATTTCACCAACGGTGTTTTTGAATGAAGGCTTGTTGGATCAACGTATATAACTAGCTGCAGACCCCCAAGCTATTCTCGTTTCCGCGTCGGTTGATTATCGGTGTGGGTCGTTCTATGTGATGCTTTCATAATAATGCATATAGCTCTAGACGTTATAGACATACCAAAACCCCACCTTTGACCTGATCACCCTTCAATGCTCTCTTCGGAACTTGTCGATGTCACCACGAAACATGATGCCAGGAGTCTGTACCAACATGCTCATGCTCCTCCTCCTCCGCTAGAGTTTCCTGATTCGGCTCCTCAACGGAAACTGTTATGGAGCTACTTCGTGATAGTATAGCTCGTTCGGCTCAGCCATTCCGCCACCGCTTACCCGCGCTACATAGGCGCGCCCTTTCCTCTCGAGGTAAGTGATGCAATTCTCTGATGGGATGGTCGGCTGGGTTATTTGGCGAGCCATAAAGTATATTCGGGGGTCTATGTATCTCCAGCGCTCGCCAGTTATCTGACTCCGAGTTCTCGCTTTGAGCAATCGGTGCGATATCGTCCGGCTCCTGCGCGTCGAAAGGTCTCTCAGGGATGACTATAAGTGTCTTGTAGTCATATCCAAACGTAGAGCCAGTGTTTGGATTACAAGAGACAGCGTCCAGCTGCACAAGTCATTCAACGCCCGATACATCTGTTAAGTCGACCTCCCTAGCATGTCCATTTCAAACACAATAGTAATTACATATGCATGATCCCCATCTCCTCTCACTCGCTCCAGTCATCTACGAGAAATGCCTCAACCCATAAAGAAGCACATCCCCTCTCTGATTCCCAACCCCCAACCACTCCCCCCCACTACTGAACCCCGTACTCGTCACCCTTCCCAGCGGCGTGCCGTCGGTGGGCCAGTTGTTGAACGCCGTCCCCGAGGGGAGGTGGTACACTTTCAACTGATCTTTGCGGAGGGAGGAAGAAGTGGCGAGGATGGAGGAGGAGGGGTGCCAGGCGAGGGAGGTGGTGGGGAGGGTGAGGTGTTCGAGGGATTTGTAGGGGGTTGGGGAGAGGGGGGTGAAAGAGGGGGATGAGGTGGTGGTGGTGGGGGTGGGGGGGAGGAGGGAGGGGGTGGAGTAGAGGTTGACTATGCCGGTGGTGGAGCTGCGATGGAGTTGGTTGGATTCGAGATGAGACGAAGCGATAAAGTAATAGATGAAACGTTTCTCCCTCTCGCCCATAATCGCCCAAAGTCGCACTTCCAACTCCAAAAAACCCCCTCGGTCTCGAGCTCTTCCCAGCCACGACAAAGCTCTCAAGCGAAAAGAGAACAAACCAAAAAAAACAAAGAAAGACTCGACAAAAAAACAGAAAAGACTCACCCAACAGCCGTATACTGCCCATCCCCACTACTCTCCATAACGTTCCCACCCCTCATCCCCTCATCCCTCCACTTGCCCACAATCCCCCTTTGCCCCACATCCCAAATCTCCACCTCCGCCCCATCCCTCCCTCCCAACACGTTCAGCTGCTTTCCCGACAAAGACCAGTCGAGGGCAAAGATGGAGCCGCCTCGGCCGGATCGGAGTTCCGCGACGAGGGCGCCTGCGCCCGAGGGGCCGTATTCGAGGACGGAGACTGCGCCGCGGAGGCCGGCGACGGCGAGGAGAGAGCCGTCCGGGGAGAAGCGATGCCGGGAGAGGTCGTTCGGCGCGGAAGGGGAGGGGGAGGAGCCCCAGAGGTTGCGGGGGGAACGGAGGCAGCGCTGGGAGGCGAGGTCGTATGTGTAGTAGTATGGGCGGGAGCCGGTGAGGAGGAGGGAGGTGCCGGAGGGGTGGAATGTGGATTTGGAGAGGGGGAGGGAGGGGAGGTGGAGAGTGAGGAGGGTGGGGTTTGTGTGCCCGTCGATCTGGGTGGATGTTAGTTTGAGAATGACTGAGGGGGGAGGGGGCTTACGTTGAAGAAACGGACGCGTCTGTCACCGCCGGCGACGGCCATGACGCCGACCGTCTTGACGGGGTGCCAAGCAAAGTCGACGACACCTCCCTGACCGCTCTTGGACTCTCGCTTGTTGGTAGTGGGGTTTGTCTGGTTGGCGTTCTTGGCTCGCTTCAGGTCGAGCGTCCCTTGGGGAAGAGGGCCGCGGGAGGTGGAGGAAGATGAAGGGGCGATGAATGATTTGGTGGAGGAGAGGAGGGAGGAGAGGGTGGGGGTGCCGGTGGGGGTACGGTTCTTGGCCCAGTCCGGGAGGGGATGGAGTGTCTCAAATCTATGCCGGGGTCAGTATGTCCTCGACACGAGAAAAAAAAAGTAGCTCACTGTTCTTGTAATCTCGCCTGCAAAACCCTCCCCTGGACCTTTTCCCCAACCACCGCCTTTCTCTTCCCCCTATCAATCTTCTTCAGCCTCTTATCCCCAGCAACATCCACAGCCACCATCTGATCGGCCGGGTCCTCCCACAGCGTAGCCTTGCCCTTCTTTGCCTGCTTCTCGTACTCTTCTTCGAGGTCGATGAGGCCGGAGGGAAAGTCGAGGGTGGGACGGTGGGCGTCGTCTTGTTCATCGTCGGAGGCAAAGTGGAGCTCGTCGTCTTGGTCGTTGGCGGAGGGGGAGAATGCACGGAATTCGTGCTCGTCGTCGTCAGAGTCGTCGTCGGAGGAAGAGTGGCCGTCAATGTCGATTTGAAAGTCGTCCGCCATGGGAGCGTCGACGGTGAAGAGCTGTGGACGGTGAGCAGTGTATGTAGCGAGGGGGTGAGGGCTTACATCGTGATCTTCGAGGTCGCTCATACCACTCTGGTCGTCGTCTGCTGCTACCCTTGGGCGCTTGTTGCTCCTGCCGAAGAGGCTCTCCTCGAGGTCTCTCTCCTCCTGGTCCTTGTGCCAGCCATGGGTGATCTCGGCGCGGGGTGGCTGTGGGGCGGGCTGCTGCTTGCTCTTCTTCTGGCGGACCATGCCGTGCTGTGCCGTATGCTGTATATGGGCGAGTGATGTACAGAGAGAAGCAAAGATTTATGACATTTGCTCCCGCCGCCTCCACCCGTGCCTGGCCCCTTTCGCCCGGCACTTGATCAGAAAAAGTGGGTCTGCATCTCCCCGCACCTGCCATGGCGTACACCATCCCCACCACCATCACAAACCTCAGCGACGGCGCCTGGAAGCAGCTCGCCTTCCCCCCCCTCAAGAATGACCTCCTCCTCCGCGCCGCCCGTGGCGAGGAGACTGAGCGCGCTCCTGTCTGGGTCATGAGGCAGGCTGGAAGATACTTGCCTGGTACGCCCCTCCCTCCCACCCCACCTCGCCCACTCACATCCTTCTAGAATTCATGGCCGTCCGCAAAGACCACTCCTTCTTCGAATGCTGCCAAACCCCCGAACTCGCCTCCAAACTCACCCTCCAGCCTATCGACCGTTATCCCAACCTCGACGCCTCCATCATCTTTTGTGATATCCTCGTCGTCCCCCAGGCCCTCGGTCTCGAGGTGCTTATGGAGCCTTCCAAGGGCCCTGTCCTTCCGGCGCCGCTCGTCACCCCGAAAGACTTTGAGCGCTTGAACAAGGATGTGGACGTTCAAAAAGAACTCGGGTACCTCTTTGAGGCCATCACCCTTACCCGAAAAGGTCTCGACGGCCGAGTACCGCTCATTGGGTTCTGTGGGGCGCCGTGGACGCTTATGGCGTATATGTGTGAGGGCGGAGGGAGCAAGACGTTTGAGAAGAGTAAGAGCTGGTTGTACAAGTATCCCGAGGAGACGAAGGAGTTGTTGATGAGGGTTGCGGATGTTTGTGCGGATCTTTTGGTTGGGCAGGTGCTTGCTGGTGCTCAGGTATGTCCCCATATCTTCTCTCTCTCTCTCTCTCTCCCACTCCGGGAACCCCGCTGACACCTCCCTAGATGCTCCAAGTATTCGACTCCTGGGCCGGCGAGCTGACCCCTTACCACTTCAAGACATTCGCCCTCCCCCCCCTCTTGCACATCTCCCACAAAGTCAAGCACGTCCTCTCCACCCTCGGCCACCCCGGCGTACCCATCACCCTCTTCGCCAAGGGTGCCAACGCCCCTTCTACCTACCGTCTTTTGGCGGACCCTGCTGTCACGGGGTATGACACGTTAGGGCTGGACTGGACAGTCGACCCTGTGGAGATCCGTCAACTCGTCGGACAGAAAGTCAACCTCCAAGGCAACTTTGACCCCACCGTCCTGTACGGTGGCAGAGAGGGCATAGAGAAGGAAGTGGAGAGGCAGAGTGGGAGGTGGTTGGAAGCTGGGGGAGGGTGGATTGCGAATTTGGGGCATGGGATTACGCCGGGGGTGAAGACGGAGGATATGGGGTGGTTTTTGGAGTGTGTGCACAAGTATTCGAAGAGGGCGTAACGAGCGAGGAGGATGGGAGGAGGGAGAGGGGGTCTAGAATAGACGATTGTCATGTATAGCATTGGTTTGGTTGTTCGGCTGGTATTGAGGCGGCGAGTTGACGAGAGTCTTGTCTCGTTCTTGTTGCTGTTCACCCATTGGTGGCCAAGTGATCTTGGAGAGAGCTTTAAATGTGTATACGAGCCACACCACAAAAAAGCATTCAAGCAAAACAACAGCAGATGGCAAAAGACCAAAGCCTATCCCACCCCCCCTGTCTCTCGCGATCGCTCAAGTCTATCACTATCTCTTGTGGCATCATATGCATACTTCCACTCCCCTCTCAAACAGCACCTATGCTTCGGAAAATCTACATCTACGAGTCTTGATCTACGCGCCGTCTCTGATATCGGTAGCACCACCGCTCTGAAGAAGAAGTCAGCGCCATGTCTCAATCACCCCGTTCAGACGCATCCCCTCCGCCCACGCGCCACCAACACCACTTTCCATCTTCCCTCTCCTGCCTGCCTCCCCCTCCCCTCTCCTACCCAAACGGCACAACAGATGAGAGATGAGAGAACAGAGAACTCACCTCAACAGCTTCCATCTCCTTCTCCGACAACTCCTTCGTCCTCCACAGATACCCAGGCGCCTCCCAAAAGTTGTCGAAATCGTTCGGTTTGCCGCTGGGTTTGAAGCCGGTATCTTTGAATGGCGTTGATGATTGGGGTGATGATGAAGACGATGAAGAGGAAGGGGAGGATGATTGGCGTTTGGAAAGGAAGGTGGGGAAGGAATCTTTGATGTCGGAGGGCGCGCAGGGGTGGGGGGCTGGTTTGTGGGGGGCTGGGTGATGGTCAGCATGTGATTCGGATAAGGGGCGGGAGAAGGGCTGGGGAGTGATAAGAAGACGAGCAGAAAGGAGAAGAGATGGAGGGAATGGAATAATCCTCCCTTCGTCATTGGCCACTCTCGATTCAAGGCCGAATTGGATCGCTCCTGTCTCTCCCCCCCGGACATACACGGTGAGGCAGTCTTGCGTACCAAAGAAGCGAGGAGGAATAGGGAGGGAGACGTACGATGTTGGATAGTTTTACGGGAAGCGCCGAGGAACTTGATCATGGGCTTGTAGTGGGAGGCGCGGAGGAGCTGGGATGGACGCATTGTCGGAGAGTATCGGCGAGGGGTGTAGGGGAAGAGAGGTGGTGTAGTGGGGGTGGGGGATATATGCAGAAGTGATGGAAGTATACGGATGGTATTCGTCAAGAGACAAGGAGTAGAAGTCGGCAGCGCCGTACTTTTGATCCCGGTCGGACAAGTCCGAGCGAATGCCAATGGTCCGCTCTCGTCCCTAAACCAGATGCGTAGGCCGGCATGACCAGCTACGGTGGGAATGGATAGAGGCTGTCTTCATCGCTCCATGCTTGTCATCAGCACTCGTTCAATACGAGAGGTGAACGGCTTACCGTCCGTCAATTAACATACAGTGATGAGGGCGGAGGGCGGAGGGCGGAGGTGCCCGCCTGATGCACTTCCACGTTCCACTTTCCGCATCCGCCGTGTCAATCTGTACTCTCCCACCCTGACCTCGCCCTTGCCCCTCGCCTCTGGCCCCTCCTCGGCTTCCCCTCCCCGCCCCCCCCTCCCCCGGCCCGCCCTATCAAGGAGATGAGTCTGCTGTAGTCCCTGCAGTGCGTCATAGTTACACACTTGTGAGTTCTCCCAACACTTTTCATACCTCATGACACATGCTGACACATGCTGACACATCTATAGCCTCAAGTTGGCGACATCTTTGCACCTGGCAATCCCCACTATGGCTACCTTCATAACAGGAATGCCAGTGTAGCTGTAAGTAAAGGACAGAGTCTACTCATGCTGTATGACTGACACATTCACAGGTGGATACCTTTGAGAACATGACACCCATTCCCTCTCCCCCTCCCTGGCTCCCCCCCCCTCTCTGGCCCCACCTCTCTGCCCCCCCCTCCCCGGCCCCCCCTCCCCGCCCCCCCCCCGCCTGGATCCTCGACGTCTAGGGCTACTGGGCTCTCCGATTTGGGGCTTTTCCTAAAATATGGGTTTGATGGGGTCGGAAGATAGATATGCTTCTCAGGTACTCTCCGGTCTCTTGGGGCCTTCAATTTTCTCAATAGTGAGGGAGATATGACGTTTCCCGTCCATAGGGGTATTTTTTGGACACATTTGACTTGATTGGTATGTATATTTGGTCTCCACATGGGGAGACCCCAGTGGCTCTTAGACAGAACCCGTACGGGCCATGTCCCGTGCCATTTTTGTCCCCTGACCTCCAAAAAGGTGTCAGAAGCCCGGGTCCATATGGGTCAAGGTTCGGGGCACCTTCAAGACCGGGTCCAATGGCCCATCAACACTAGACAGTCATACCTGTGGATGGCAAAACACGGCGTCTCTACCCGCGACGACGTTATGGTGCGTATAATGCTATCCTTTCCCCACAATGACCTCTGACAATGCTAGTAGTCCCTCACGTTCTTTTGTAAGAAGTACAAGGCCCTCCGCGTTGCAGCGGGTACGGATTTCGCGGCCGAGTGGGCCCCCAAGGTCGCCGCTTGGATCACAAAGTACAACCAGCACTGCCGTCCTTGGTTAACCGACCCGCCCTCTTTCTCTTCGTCCGCCGTCTACTCTAAGGCCTCCGGGTTCGCCCACAAAAACTACCCTCTCGAGTGCAACCTGCTGTGGGGGTGAAGAGAGTTACATAGAGCTTGTAAGTCTTATCAGTTCTATGTACTTAGGCTCTATGTAAGGCGATGTCGGACAGAAGGAAAAAGACAAGATGGCCATACTCGCCAAGTCAATAAAAAACCTTCCTCGCCGGGTGAAGAGAGTTACATAGATCTTGTAAGGCTCATCAGTTCTATGTACTTAGGCT